AGCCGTCCGACTCAGCAGTTGCAAGTGGCGGGGTAAAAAAACCGCCTGAATTGAACAAACTGTGGGATAAAATTGCACGAAGCAACCATTGAGGGGTAGGTTGGCCGTTCGCAATTTCTTGACATCATTTTTATAATCCAGACAACAACCTGGTTCATTCAATACAAAAAATTCTTCGGCGTCAATTCCAATTGTCATTTTAAAACTCGCAGGCCCGCAGGGCGCAGGCTTAGAAAGCTCCTGGCTTTGAACGGACATTGCCGACTACCTTGCCAGTTTTGGTGGGCGTCCGATATGTAAAACTAACCAGCTTGTGTTGTCTTCACCATAAATGTACTTGTAATTATCTAGCAATTGTCGGTAACAAACCCGGACGGAGAAAGGAATGGCTGCAGGAGCAAATGGGAGAGCGTCATTTCATTTCAAAGTTTTCCAGCTATGCAGTGCATGACATTTTGCAAACGCATAGTCTATGATGTATGCAGGTTCCAGAGCACCGGACAATAACACAATAACCACACCATCTACATCTATGTACAGTTAAATAATGCATTCTAAGAGCGTTAAGTACTCTCAGAACAGCAAGGGCTATGGTGAAATCATCACAATGTAGTGATAGATGTTACAGGGAGGGAGAGGAACCTTCCTTTTCAATTAGGTTGCCCAATCCAACATTGATAAGCTGGCCAAATGGAGGGTGAAATCCATATTTTGAAGTATTTTAGTGGTAACTTAAGCTGTTTTCCTTGCTCCGCCATCACCAAACTGACGTTGTAAAGCTACACCCCTGGATGCTGCATACACCGTTCATCAAATCCATTGTAGGTCATGATAACACACAAAGGCCTTCTGCGAGGTCTAGGGAACGATGCTGGTATTGTAGTCCAGTGACGCTGGGTACAAATCCCAGGGCGGGCACGTCGTTCAGCCCAACTGAAATGAAAAGGTCAGCTGGCAACTGGTGAACGAGGGTACTCAGGCCCGGGGCGGCCGTGCCGCAGCATTGTGCGGCACGTACAAACCTCCACATTCCTGTCTGACAAAAACACAGGGGCAAAATTTGTTAAACTAGACGGCATGACTTGGGTGGTCGGCTCGGGTTACATGCAACAAACTATGCTTAGCAAGTACTGTAAAGCAAAAGCTATGCATGCACATCGTTGCTCACACACACACACACACACACACACACACACACACACACACACACACACACACTATATATATATATATATATATATATATATATATATATATATACACAGCAATACTTCTGCTATATGCATAACCTGTTTTGGTAGCTAGCCACGAAGGGAGCACCGATTGACAAACTATCGCTTTAAGCAAACGCGTCCAAGGACGAAAGTGGCGCACGGAGATTGTTAACGTTAGTCTAAGTCGTTAGCTGTTAAATAATCTCAGATGCATATGCAAGGCTGATCCTTAGGTAGCTCACGGAGTTAGCGTAAGGATCGATCTTTTCGTTGCAAAGCTATCGGGCTGCACGGCGGAATGTATTGATGTCAGGCAGGGGTGCAGCTTTGTCAGAAAAAAAACAGTGGGAGGAGTAAGACCAATATTTGGAATAGGAAGGAGCCCCGGACTTCTCCTGCCACCTCTCTCATGTTTTTAGCGTTGGTCTTGACGTGTGATTGGAAGGGGGGGGGATACCTGCCATTTGAGTGATATGAGCGGCCGAGGAGCCGGGATTTCAAAAGCGTCTCTCAGCTGTGGCGCGGTGCAATACACACTGAAGTTTCGTACCTTTTTAGACGAATCCTCCTGCAGCGCATTTCAACAGCTCCTACAGGCACGAACTGTACGGTACACGGCGACAACTTTAAATCTAACATGGCGCAGTCACTGAGCGCTGGCCACTGCCCCCGGACTGCTCTCAGCCCGCGCGCCCAAGCCTAGACAACGATTTAATTCGCAGCATTGTCATGCGAATACAAAAGCAGGGCTAAGATGTAAACGTATTCACGCCTGTGCAGCTCGTTCATGCCACTCATCTGGGCCGCACCCCAAACACCGGACCAATGGTGGAGATAGGAGACAGGGAGAGAAATACACGACACAACACGTAACTCATCCGGGCCGCACACCGAACACCGGACCAATGGTAGAGACAGGAGACAGGACGAGAACTTCACGACCCAACACATAACTGATCCGGGCCGCACACCGAACACAGACCAATGATGGAGACAGGAGACAGGGAAAGAACTACGCGACGCGACGCATGACACACCTGTAGCGAACATTGCATGAATATTCCTGACGACCTTGATAATCCTGATGCTTGTAGAATGTAATTTTCTAAATATTGTACCTGGCATGGGTCATCGTAATCTTTTGGCTCAGCCGCCTGTGTGCTCCGTGCAGCTGATAGCATAGCACTATGAGTTGGATGTCGAAGCTGGAGCGAGTAAAAGTTCAGGTATTTTGTGTTCACATGCCTTAATTTTTAAATGTCTTTTTATGCTTACCTTCACTTGCGACTATGAACACAGTGTGGAACGTCGAGTTTGGTAATATGTGGCCAATGTTTGCCTGATAACGTTCTTTAACTAGCACCTCCTAGTGTAGCGGATGTCGATTATAGCCAGCATGAAAACACCAAACCCATAATGATATGTCATATTTCGGTTTGGGCCTGTTCCAAACCTCTATCGTAACTAGCTACCAGCAGACGCGCGGGCACCAGCTTCCAAGCTGGTCCACTGGCCACCGCGTTGCGTCATCGCCATCGTCTGGCTGGATTTGTGCTATCCACAGGAGTTTTTAAAACAATGAGATAAACACAAATAAGTTCGTTATTTTTTTGCCTCAGACGATCAACGTGCACTTTGTCACATGAGTTAAGTTTCCTGCACTTCCTAGCCACGTTCAGTACTAACCAGTCGTGAGCGTCCATCACAGATCATTTCAGTGACCGTCTCCATCGGCGGAACTCTTTGAAATGCGCCGCCTGTCGTTTACAGTGACGGAAGCTGTTATCATCGGCTGCTAACATAAAAAAACTGCATGAGGCGTTATGGTCATGCAGACCAGGATATCACCTGGGTGGGCGATGTGGGCCTTATGAACATCTTTTGGCAGCATAATATCACATCACCTGACCACAGCGCGTCGTGGTCGCATATTTGGCATGCCCCGTTAACACAGGGCCTGATGTACCTCCTTGCGATATTATGGACAGCCTACTGCAGCAGTAAGCTGTCATGTATGCCAATATGTGACAGCCTGCATGCAAGCCAATAGGCCGTGCAGGAACTGCACAGTACCTACTAGCATAACTTCTCAAGCGGAGTCGTCGGTGTGGTATGGCGGTCACAAGACCAGACGAGGCGTCGGACCGGAGCCAGGTGGCCAGTCAACGATCGAGCGCTTAATTCAAGCCCACCCTCCACGGCGGATCTATCTCGGGTAAGCTACCGCGCCCACCAGATCATTCATCTCTGGTATGCCCAAGCGTCTCCGCGGCCATTTATCTCGCGCCTGTCTGAGTCGGCGGCCAGCCTGGCTGAGTTCGGACGACCGTGCGCGGCCGCTGCAATCAATTGTGCAGCGCCGCCGGTGGTGGTCTCGCTGGGGCCGGCCGCCCCGTCTGCACAGCAGCTGGCCAGGCCCGGCGAGCTGCCCGAGCCAGCCATCACAGACGAGCCGCCACCCATCGCATCCGCTCGCCGAATGGAAGCAGCGGCGGTACTGACGAACTGTTGAGCGTCCATCCCATGAGAAGGCTTCAGGCTCAGCCGGCCACCATTGTCCGCAAAGCACATTGTTTTTGGTCGACCCTTGTGCACAAACTGGATCAACTATTAACTTCAGGTGAACGATTGCTACCCAGTGCCGCGAGCGATGCCGTCGGCGCCAGCCGACCCTTTCACCTGGAGGTTTGTAACCGACGGCCGCCCGGAAAGCCTCCCGAGGCGCCCACGCCGCCGGCTGTCTGAGCCTGTGAGGACAATGTCACGCACGGCGGAGCTGCGGATCACTTCTGACACGAGCTGACCCCGGATCGCACGCACCGCTCTGATCCGTCACGACCCCTGCCGGAAATTCCCAGAAACGAGCCGACACCCCGCCCGCCGGCTGCGACACAATGACCGCGTGAAGGGAGGGGCCGGGTTCGTTACCCACGCACCGAGGAGTGCTGCGCCGCCAGTGTCGACGACAGCCACGGGACCGCGGGGTCCTCCAGCGCCCATCGCCTGCTCAGAGGGATGACATATTCCCATTTCGTTACATAAGCTAATGCATGCAATACATCCCGGATGCGTTTGTGTGCATCAAAAGTGTTTCATAACATAAGGAAGCCCCCTGAATAGCGGTCCAATTATGTGGCGCGAGCGTCATCTAATTGGCAACGCGTGCCGCGTGTCTAAAGGTCAGACGTCATTTCGTGCGACAGCAGCAGCAAGGAGCAGTACGCCGCCAACAGCCAGAAGAGCGCGCATGCCTTTAAAGCCACATTCTCGGTCGCGGTCGTCAGTTTTTGTCCTCCGCCGCACCAGCTCGGCGAGTCCGTCGCGCAGACAAAATGCGAGCGAGCTGCGGGCCTGCTGCTAACGGCCGTGCTCTGCGCAGGCTGCGAGCGCCCCTGCTGCTGGCGGCCGTGCTCTGCGCAAGCTGCGAGTGCCCCTGCTGCTGGCGGCCCTGCTCTGCGCAAGCTGCGAGCGCCCCTGCTGCTGGCGGCCCTGCTCTGCGCAGCCTGCGTCGAGTCTGCGTCACGCCGCGGCTAAGACCGGCTCCACTACATCCTGCACCGTTTGCGCCGGCTCTGCCTCCGCGCGCCGGCGCTCTGCGGCTGGGCACACCACCCGGTCCTGCTCAAGACGGTGCTGGCCGGCGCGCCGCCGGCCAGCACCGCCGCCGGACGCCAGCGTGCGCCGCATCTCCCGCAACACGGCCGCCTGCTTCAGCGTCAGTGGCGCACAGCTGGTCAGCGTTTGGCGCGTCTGCGTCAACGCGACGCTGGGGGACGCGTGACCGGCCTGGCCGATCGGCTGGACATCTTCCGGCTGATGCTGGGCGCCCACGCGCTCCTGGTGCCGCTCAACGCCAAGACACTCTCCCTGCCGCGCCGGCAGGTCGCCCTCAACATCGCCGACCGTGTGATGAAGATGACACGGCGTGGGATGCATCACGCCTAGGGACTTCCGGCCGCGGAAGGGGTCAGACGGGTCAGAGGTCAAGCCGCCGCCAGTGGAGCGGCCACGCGTCGGGACTATGCAACAGACCGCAGAGTTGCAGGTCCTAATCATCGCAAAGAGATATCCCCTCGACGTGGCGCATATAGTTTGAACATATCGAGTCAATTCGCAAAATCTTCAGACCTGGGCACGCTATTGGTGGTCGTAAATTCCGATACAGCTGTCGCTTTCACAAAAGTACCGATTAATCTGCAGTCACTCGCTACCATGGAACAATTCAGATTCCACGTGATCCCAGTCGTTCCAGCGAGGCATCCCGTCTGATTGATGAATGCTCATCAAGGAAAAATAGCCAACAGGCCTTGTTGCCGCCTCTCGGCTTGGATGGGGACACTCTGTCTTGTGCCACTCCCAGGGTGCGCTCGTTCGTTCTCAGTGGGTCCGCAAGTCGGAAAATCCCAATGTCACGTTACCCGGCCTCCTCAGCCCTGCTGGATATGTTATCTGGCGTTGCGGTGTAACGTTGCGCCCCGACCCATTATCCATGGCAAACCTGTCACAGCATAGTTTTCCACTTTATAAACAAAAATTCCTGCATCACGTATAGTTATCATGATGCAATTGCCATGGTGCACTACATCGAGATGGTCCTGAAAACAATATAACCAGTTCCGCAAAACATTACCACTTTCCAGAAAGCCAACATCACCGTCGCCGAAGCAAAATAATAATTGGCGCGAAGTTACCGGACGAAATCTGATACGGATCACTAGCCTCGGGACGGCACGCGCAGCCTACCCCGACAATGGAAGTCTGACACTCAGCACACCCCGACAATGGAAGTCTGACACTCAGCGTACCCCGACAATGTAAATCTGACACTCAGCGTACCTCGACATTGGCAGTCTGACACGCAGCGTACCCCGACATTGGCAGTCTGACATGCAGCCTACCCCGACAATGGAAGTCTGACACTCAGCATACCCTGACAATGGAAGTCTGACACTCAGCATGCCCCGACAACGGAAGCCTGACACTCAGCGTACCCCGACAACTGCAGTCTGACACGCAGCGTACCCCGACAATGGCAGTTTGACACGCAGCGTCCCTCGACAATGGCAGTCTGACATGCAGCGGGGATGATCGGAGTCCTATGAGAAGGTAATGCTCCCCGATTGGGGCTGCGAAGGAAACCCACCTCTCATTTCGATACATTTCAGCTGCGACTATCGGCTGCATAATGCAGGTTTCATGTGACCCTTGTTTAGGCATTTTGTTTATTTCAGCTGGGGCAGCATATCCTCGAGTTCCCGATCAATGGATCAGCACGTCAGCCCGCCGCTGGCCAAGACATGAGCACGCCCCGCTCCCTACTTTTCCCATCCCCAGCACGCGCCTGACTCGGCGGTGCGTGACGTCCCTCGCTCCACGTACACCCGCCTGACCCGGCAGTGGGTCAGCACGTCCCCTGTCCCAGGCACACCCGCCTGACCCGGCGGTGGGTCACCCCCCCCCAGCCCCCTCTCGAAGCACGCCGGCCCGTCCCGCACACGAGCCAGCGCGTTCGCCGGTGCCCGGCAGGCGGCCGGATCGTCCAGTCTGACCGCTGCAGCTCGATGCCGACCTTTCAGTGGTGATTCCCGAGGCGCGCTGAGCCCCGGCGCCTCCTGCACGGCCTGACCGGGCACGGCCCCGTCTGGGCCGGCTGGGGGCAGCCCCGTACGCCCAGAGGCCGCACCTACTGAGTGTTGGTGGCTCCTTGGCGAACTTACAATCAAATGTATGCGCTACCATAACGTAGCAAGCTGCATACAAGTCCATATACGTAAGCACATCTTTAGTGCGGAGAAGACAAAAATTGATATCGTTACTTGGATACATATGAAATGCGTCCATAATGAAAACACCACAAACACACATAGCCGCAATCATTTCTAGAGTACCTGCCGCCCATCACCTAATAGCTCAAGAGTTGTGCAACAATTTGTCTGTTTAGGGCTGGCGAAACTACAGTCAGCATTTCAGCGTCGTCCGTTGTCAGTCTGGTTCTGGTATACAGTCGTCCTACAACGCCACCCTTGTCCATTAACAGTCACGTCAAGAAAAGCCATCACATTTTACATACTGTTCTTTTGTGAATTTTGTTGCAAAATTAGCGCCAATCAATCCACGCACGTCAGTGTATTTAGGCATTGTTCTGATAAGACATGATTACATTCGGAATTGGTACGAATCACAAATCTTGGTAAATAACGGTTTTTGAATTCTGACGTTGAACACAATACAGCGACATATCACAAGAGGCTTTGACAATAAGCCAGTACTAGACAAACAACCAACCGTCCAAATGCATCATCAAAATGGAATAACATCTGCCTACAGACAAAACGAAAAAGCTCTGCCGAAAATCATCTCCCGACGCATAAAAGCCAGAACGACCATAAAGAATGCATTGTTGTTTATTATTGCGACAGGAAAGTCCCTGACTTTCTTGTGAGGAACAGTCCTGGCAAACCCAACAAGCCTTAATGCACCAATGCAGCGTGTCAATTCCAATATAGTCTCGAAAGCTGCAAACTTCGTTTCGTACACTACATTGGTGTAACCACGACACTCACGACACCTGACAACTCACTCACGCAACGGGACACCTCTGAAGCAAATGCGGTACGACCGTCACAGAGCATTACCACGACAATAACTTACGGGGTCCGTGACTGTTCGGGACCGATTAACTCGGCGCTAAGCTCTTTCTCGCTATATTGCCCAACGCACATCATCAATGCATGGACAAGCTCGTGTTTTCGTTCGCACATCCTTTTTTGACAGCTGACGGCGTGGAGCATTCTTGATTGGTCACGTGACGTAGTTACCAGCTCTTTCTCAAATGTCATCACCAGACTGTGCTCTTTGTGCTAAGCACTACATCATCCATGATGCGCGGAGCTCGAGACATCGCAGCAGGTGGGAATATTCCATGGGTGATGATGATGGATGTGTGTAGTTGCAGCGCATCGCTCAGTGCAAAATGTCAAGTGCATCTTTTACTTATGCCCGTTGTCACGGACTTGCCGAAGCCAGATGGGCTTCGATTCACTGGCGGAGGCATTTCGCATCGTTATTTCTGGCCATGACTACGCCCCAGTACCAGCTTGAAGTCACAAATGCCTTCGTAACATGTCAGCAAGTAAAACCACCTTATAGGCAAACATATGCATATTTTTACGAGTCATGCGTTTATTTGGCGAGCTCAAAGATGTCTTTGAGTAGCAATTTTTGTTTGCATTTACACAATCTCGAAAAATGTCTGATAACCCTTTTTTGATCATAATATCAGCATCCTTCCTCTTTTTCGCATTTGGACGCAGTTAAGTTGCCAGAATGACTTGTGACTATACCAGCCCGCGTCGCACGCTGCGTGAATAATCTTTTGAACCCAAACTCCGGTCTTTGTACTCCGTTTTCTTATGACATGATTAGTGAGTTGCGATTCGAAATGTATACCATTTGATTTGTAGCAAAATATTGCAGCAAAAGTGGATACATCCACAAATTGCGTTACTGACATCACGACATGAAATTTAGAGCCCTTGGGATGCTGCAGAGAAGTGGCTCTATCGACAAATTGTACCACTAACCATGCGCCTATATGTCCCAGGCGTTTGCTTTTCGCTTTGGAGGTGTGATAAATGTAAGATTTGGGTTTGGCCATTTTTATGAGATACAGGTACTTACCTAAGAGACACTATACAACTATTAGATCTTCAGACACTTGGATCATTTAGTCATCTGGTCACGGTCATTTCCTTCACTGACACTGCAGGCGTAAAAGGCACCGTGTAAAAAGTCTCATGTGATTCCCAGCTACATTACATATAATAAAGCATTTAGAAAAAATTATTTGTATCAACGAACACGACCATTTCAATCTGGCTGTGGGTTCGAGTTAAAAGGATGACCGTTTCCGGAATCGAGTAAACTATCCAAGAGCCTGTGCACTCTGGAGTTGAATTTGAGCAAGCGTCATCGTTTCCAGTTGAGCATTAAGTTCCGGTTGCCGCCTCAACTAGATGAGTTTCCATGACCAGCCAACTTTGGACGGTACTGGGAGGCACAGGCGAGCGTGACCACGTCACCGTTTCGGAAACAGAGCTTGCTCCCCCGTGTCCGGTCAGCTCGCACGTGCGGAGCTGTCTGGCGTCGGCCGACGGCTAGCTGTCCTTCGTGCATGGTCGGCTTTTATATGGAAATCTGTACTTATGTTTTCCTACGCTGAAGATATCCTATTCGAACTGCCAACCCAGCGTTTTCCAAATCGTTACCATACGCTCAGATGCTTTAAACATGAGGTCGTGAATGCTGGGGAATTCCTCGATCGAGTTTTTCGTGCATTACTGCCAGGCATTTTAAAGCAGGAAAACTACGGCTGTATTCAAAGTAATTGTGATTTATAAATCACTCAATTTATCATTTGATTACACTCGCCAGAATCCGAATTGTTTACTTATTAACCTCTGGATATATCAAATATACCCAATACATAATAATCGTAACAAACGTTTCAAACGGGTATAATCCAATAATTATCGAATGTTCGAATGAACCAATGTTTTAATTTGTTAATAATGCAGAATCTAACTGATTACATTTCAGTGAAATTACAATATAACATCCTATCAAGTTTGCATAATCTAAGCATTTCACTGATGCATCGCAACGAATATGTCGAAGTCTTGCAGATATACGTTCTGTGATTAATTACCGGCTGTTACACTGAAGGCGACGGCAAAATTTAAGGTGAGGTGATCCATTTTTACAGTTTGTACAGTTTTGTGGGAATTTGATGGGGCAGGATTTACGCCCCAAAAACCGCCTTGAGTTTGATTACGTAGGCAGATGTGGGATATTGGCATTTCCTTTTTTCTGACCCATTCATCATTCACTTTTCATTCGTCATCTTTCCTGTAGCCATGAGTTTGTCCTACACACCG